AAAATGTTACATTTCCACTTTTACTGTAGATCTGATAAAAGTAAAGTGAGCAGTATTTCCGGTGCAACATTGAGTGGGATAAAGCAGAACAAACTTGGTTGAAATGTAACATAATATTCATATGTAAGTTGTGGGTAACTATCCGGATCAAAACTTAATTTGGTTGACTTAAAACGAGCCCTCTGTATTCACAATAGCAGTGAGTTCCCTTTCATGGAGGTTACCAATGCGCACTGCAATAACTTCAGTAGCACCAAGAATGGACAAATTGAGTACTATGTGTTTTTGTAGTTATGAAGATGAAGATGAAGATGAAGAAGAGGGTCGTTGTTGTTGTTGTTGTTGTTGATGTTGTTGTTGTTGTGAGCAGAAGAATCTGTGTTAATAGGCATGTTTGATAGTGAACTTCACAAACAGAGGATCTGAGCTGTAGGATTAGAGGTTATTTGGATTTGATCCAATACTCTGCTGTTTGTGCTCCGTGATTGTGCTTTTGGTCAGATAACCACAACATTTCAGTGGAAAAAGCTAATGTGCGTGAGAGGAGGAGTTAACAACCAGGATAAAAGAATGAGCTTTAATTTGCCCATTATGTAACAATCTCCTCTGATTAATACAAATATCTACCAAACTAAAACTTAATATCAAACTGGTGCTTGAGATATAGCACAAACAAATATACTCAAACATCTGAGTTGAGAGCTTCAATGCTCAGCTGTCTGATTTTTTTGAGTAAAACGTTTGAGCCTTTTAGCCCCTTTTCAAATGGATAGTCTCTGTTTTATCTCAAGGATTGACAACCACAGACAGACTAAAGAACAATAGAAAAATTCAGAGTCAACTGGAGTTTACAGGATTTTCATTCACAAAATAAGAAACATAAATGATGCTTCTGACATTGTCCTTTAGGTACCCATGTGGTTATTAGGAAGAAGCATTTTGTACTAATATCACTTATCCCATCATCTATGTAGCCTCGGATCTCTGTAAAGCTACAACTGAAAGTGTTTTCCCCCGTATTAACTCTTTTATCTTCAGAGCTCTCTCCCATCCATTGTATTTCAAAGCTGAAACAGTCTCTCACCTTCCCATTTTTCACTCGTATAGAATATAATAGTTTTTATTGGACATGCAGTGCTGACAACATAAATCCACCTCTGTAAGATGAAAAGATAGTGGAGTCCTTCATTTTTCCATTTCGCAAAGAGCAGAGATCAACTTTTCCAAATTACAAATCTGCTGTCTGGACTTCTGGAGAAGAACTCCAGACTTGTGGAGATATCAAATGAATAAAACAAGGCTCCAGAATGTTGCATTGGTTTTTAGTAGATCATTGGAGCTCTTTCTTTTTCGCAACATCAAAGGCAGCCGCAGCTCTTTGATGTGGCAGCATGCTGTTTAAGGTACAGAGTGAATGGAGAGATGTCAAGCTGCAAGGTGCCTCTGTAGTTTACGTTGAGTGCTGCAGAGAGCTGCAGATGAAAGAAGCAAACAGAGTTTGATAATGAATGTCCAACAAGTAGGACCCATCTCAGACAGCGCACGCTCAGCGGGGTGCCTGCGCTAACCTTGAGCTCAGCACTCCAAACTTTGGGCAGACGCTGGAGACTGGGCTTCTTCAACTTGACTGCTACTGAAAAAGGGGATCTCAGACATGAGCTTTAATCTTCCTGTCAATTAAATCCTGATTGACACGCACACCCACCATACACACATTGTCATGAACACGTGCTCCTCAGAAAGAGATGCCGTCTATTTCCTCTGTTGGATACCTCATTTTTCTGGTTGGAGGGACTTTTTCTAATTCCACACTTTTTTTTTCAATGAGAGAGTAAACTTTTTGCCTGGATGTCATTATTGCCGTAGTATCACCTTCCACTGTGATCCTACAGGTATAAATTCTTTATGTTTGCCTTTTTTTGGTCTTTTATCTTGATGGTAAACTTCAATTCTCATTTCGACTCAGTTGCGAGGTCAGCTGAAGTACAAATTGAAATATAACCAAACAGTGCACCAACCCTTTAACATCGTTTGAGTGGATATTTGATAGAAACACATTCAGATTTATTTGTTTTAAAAGTAAGTATGGGTATGATTACCTTGAGCCCATATTGTTGAAGTTTTTGTTTTATACTGATAGTTTGTGTATTATAATGATGCATTTTAAACTACACTTATCTTCTTAATGTAAGGAGAGAAGGTTATGTGACAGCTTGTTTGAATATGTTTAAGGTGTGATGCTCACTACAACACACCAGCGCACCTGGCTTACAATGACCTCACCACATGTGCTTTCGATATCTGCACAAAAAGAAAGACCGAAGCCAAAGTATTTCATCTCTTGATCTGGACCAGAACTGTGCCATTATTCACAGACATCCACCTTAAAACTTGACTTAGGTAGACAAGGTTATCAAGTGCATTGTAACCTCTTATTGGAGCACACTGAGCTGAATTGACTCCATATGAAGCAAGACAAGACTAACGCTAGATAAACTTCAAACTGAGGAGACAAAGGTGGACTGGATTTTTGTCTGTGGTGAAACAGGGAGCATTACTTTCTGATATCTTTTCTGAAGTGATTTGGGAAACACAAAGACGGAGAACTATTCTTTGTTTTTACCCTAGAGGCAGGCTGAATTCTACTCTGGGAACAGATTAGAAACACTTGAACACCTGAGGCCTAAAGTGGCAGAGATAAATGTGACCTTTGACCCTTTGCTGAAGGTCAACAACCTTGCTTCAGTTCACAATGGAAAGTTCATAGACATGATATGTGTGCAGGTGTGACCCCCTTAAAAGGCATTTAAAGTGAACTCATTTCTTTCAGTCAACATGAGAGGCTAAAATAATACATTTCAGACTCTTAGCTCTCAGCCTGTTCACTAGAAAGCCAAAGCTAATGTACAACAGCCTCTGTCCATATTTGCATTAAAAGCTGTGTGTCTTGGCTTGATTAAGGCAAAGTTGATGTAAATATCTCTTCATCAATCATGAAAAAGGTTAAATTGTTGAAAAGGATAAAGTTTGAGAACTCCTTTGCCTTTTCACAAGGTGAAAAATTCTGCTTAAACTCGGGACAAAAACTCTCCGAGAAGTCTTCAGGGATTTTATCTGTATTTTTTATTGACAATGTCTTACCTTTCTTTCCTACCCATCCAAACTTTTCTGGACCCCCTACTGTGATTTGAATGTCAGAACTCCACATTAGAGCTCCATGTAGGATGCCTGGCAGAGAGCACTCTGCGTTACACTCCCCTTGGTGCAGTCGCTTGTGTTTAAGACTAGGAAAAGAAAGAAGAAAAAGGAAAAAGGAAAAAAAAAGAAACTTACTTCAGAAAGTTTTATTTCAGTCTGTCTTTGATTACTCCTGCCTTTGTTGGATGGAGGATTTTCATCTACGGGGTGCGGTGAGGAAAGACAATAAACTAATCATGTAGCTCAGGATGGAGCTTAATAACTTTATTATCTGTTCATGCACAAAATCATGTGCATAACTGGGCTTTATAACCTTGAAAATAAAGAAGGGGAGTAAACTTTATTAAACAAATAGCAGGTGTGTTCTGATTGATACACACCTTAAATGTTAGATCAGAACTACAGCTCACTGTCTAAGCTGCAGGTTCCCAGCTGCTGCAATATTACTATTATGACTGTGCTACAATTATAAAATTATATTTCTGTTGCCAATAGTTACTCTTCAATGTTCACTCAAACAGCATGAAAAGATGCTCAGAGAAACCTCTGACAATTTCATTTGTGTTGTAGAGAGAGGTTTGAAAGCAGGTCTGACAGTAAACGACAGTAAAAATCCAGCCTCTGAGATATCAAATAGAAACAAACAAATGTGACTAAAACAAAATAAAGAAATGTGCCAAAAAGAGGAATATAAAATCTGTATCAAAGTGAGACAGTAGAAAATCTGAGCTTCCTGAACCAGCCGGGTTGAAATATTTATGCAACAGTTCCATCATGTGGTTGCATGACCAAATAGCAACTGGTCAAAATCTACATACACAACTTAATTGACTACCACTCAAAATCAGCTTTCCCCTTTAATCCAACTCTAGTGGATATTCCTCGATATATGCCAAATTAAGATTTAAATTTAGGAATTATATATGAATATTCTGTCTTATAATTAGCTATAAATTCTCTTGGTGGTTTTCTTAAAAGCAGTACCCTCATTATTAAAAACCACTGTCAAAGGGATGTACAAATGTTAACACAAGTCTGCAAAAAATGAACATGATTTTTGGCACACCAAATAATCTCAGACAATCTACTTTAAATTTTTGTTCTCTTTATAAAAAAAAATAAAAAAACAGGAGTGAACTAAAACTTGCATTGTGATGCCTACAGATTTACAGCACAGAATTAGTCTCTTTGTATTTCAGTTTTGTCAAAGACTTATTCTATCGGCGAGCAAGGCCTAGTTTACACATGACAGGATGAACTTGGTAGCCAAGATTTCTGGAAGAACAAGTAGCAGAAGTAGTTTCACTTTCGGCTTCAGAATGAGGAAGAGGCATGTCCGATCATGGTGTGAACCCACTGTAAAACTGACAGATGAGATGGAGATGAGAAAGTTCTCTGTTGAGGAGACTCAAACGTAAGTGAAAATCTAACTTTTGTGGTACTTTGTGTTTCATGGCTTTACAGCTAGGTACTGTGGGTGACTTGTATGCATTTTGTTAAGTTTCTTAAGTCAAATGAGTGTAACATGAGTCAGCAACCTAAAACCTACACTGTTTGTTGTGGTACTTGACCCGCATTGTGTGATGGAAGTGGTGGTATTATGACAATGATGATCGTGTGTGTGTGTGTGTGTGTGTGTGTGTGTGTGTGTGTGTGTGTGTGTGTGTGTGTGTGTGTGTGTGTGTGTGTGTGTGTGTATATGTGTGTGTGTGTGTGTGTCTGAACACTGCTAGGCCACGATAGAGAAAGCAGGATTTGTACACACCGGATGCACCTGATTATGCCTGCTGATGTGAAAAAGCATGTGTGCCCAAGAGCTTGTGCTGAAACAACGGACACAGATACTCCATGCTTTGTGCTGCAGCGGGTCATCTGAACATTTGGAGCAGGTTTTGGACATACTTTTGGCCCAGGGAGAGCTCACATGGGAGGACTATCAGAACACACAGGTACCAGTCAGTGCACTGTACACCAAAGCCAGGCATTTGCTTGACCTGGTTTATACAAAGGGTGTGGATACCTGCAGGCACTTTCTTGCTGCTCTCAAACAGGTCCTGCCTGAAGAACTGGGAGAGGGACTCTCATTTTCTGGATGCTGTTCACATCTGGAGGAAAAAGATGAATGCCAGAACACATCTGCTCACACCCTTTTCACTCAAAGACCAGTCCTGGTCTGCAAGCTCCAAGGCCGCATTGAGGATGTTTTACAGACTCTAGTCTCTTCAGGACACTTCAGCTCAGCAGACTGCAATGAAGTGCTGCTACCTTTGTACACACCCTCTCAGCAGGTAAAGTGTGTTACAGCCCATGAGCTATAGATATTTTAAACTGTGGTTTGGCGCTTCCTGTATCTGTATCTAATTGGGTAAGATTAGCACTGTTAGCGGTTAGGAAGGAAATACGGAAGCCAAGATTAGTCTGGTTTTGTGTCTAAGGGATTTGTACAACTCTAATCCATGTGCACTACACTTTAAGATAGCGTTGGCAGCCTATTAGCTCAGCTAACTAGCAAAAAAGACTTAAGGGTGTTGAAGCTATCTTAGGTCTGTACAAGGAAAAATTCACTTTATGTTTCATAATTCTGTTCATAACTTTCATGTTCCCCCGTGTACAGAGGCTGTAGCTCTCAACTGGGCAGCTTAGGTTTGATTCTAACCCTACGGCCCTTTTACCATATTCTATTCCCTTCACTACCTACTGGTTTACATCTAAATAGTTTTTCTTCTTATAACTGGCTAAGAAATACACTATATTTTTGACCCTTATAAAATGTTGTCCTCCTTCTATTGAACTTTAGTACAGCATGGACTGTAAAAATGACACATGACCTGTAGCTAAATAAAAACTCCTGTGAGGAACTGTCGGTCTACACTGATTTTTGTGGACAAAGTGGTCACCCTTTTATTGTAGTCAAAATTTTCTCATCTTTTATTGCCAAAATTTCCCCCTATCTTTTACAGTGAAACTGATAATTGATTGTGAGCATTTGCTGTTAAAAAGTACTATCATACCTACCCCCTCACAACAGTAACAGGTGTAAAATATCACTGCACAGAAATCGTCTATCTTGTCATCAATGGTTCAGTTTGGTTAAATGTATCACAGAGATGCAACACCATTTATTTCAGTCTGTTTCGTCCCCAATCAAGAACTCCTCACAGGAGCTTTAATTTGATTTAATTGTATTTTTTTGTATTTTATTTTATGTGGCATTACCTGTTAGCTCACAAACATCAAAGCGATATAAATTTTCTTAACTAGTTTATGAGCAAAAACTTTTCTTATGTTAACAAATCATTTGTCATTCTCATGTCAAACAGGCGAGGCGGCTGCTTGACCATGTTCGAGCAAAAGGAGAATCAGCTGTGAATAGTCTGCTGCAGTACGTTCAGCAAAAACAAGAATTTGGATCATCACTGAAACTTGAAGAATCAAGTCTTTCTAAAGGTAAGATAGAAGTATGACAATATTGGGAAGTAGAACAGTTTGTTCAACATTTCTGCGCAAAAATCTGAAAAGATCAATTTCTGACAAGTCACATCTAAACCAATACATTTGGGTAACAAATAAATGTTACTGCTGTCCAACTCATTTTGCTTTTTTACTGTCAGAATTCATTAGGTATCAAAAGAAGCTCAGTAGTTCTTTATCAGCACAGTCCTGCTTTCTTAGTACATATGGAAGAACAAGTCACATGCCACTGGATGACATTTACACTGAAGGCCTGCTGGAACTAGCTCATGACAGTGCTGATGTTCATGGATCTTTGAGCCTGGAGGACATAGTGGGTGCGGTGGGTACAGTGAATGAAGAGGCTGACACAGTGCTTGTGTCTGGAGAGGCAGGCAGTGGGAAGAGCACCTTACTGCAGAGGCTGCACTTACTTTGGGCTCAAGGTGCTGCCCTTCAGAACTTTCTTCTCCTGTTCCCATTCAGCTGTCGTGGGTTAAACTCAGAGCACAGGGAGCTGTCTGTCCAAGAACTGCTGTTTCAGCACTGCTGCTGGCCAGACCGTGAGCAGGATGAGATATTCCAGTTTATCCAGGACCATCCACATCTCATCCTCTTCACTTTTGATGGCCTGGATGAGCTTAAACAAAGCTTTTCAGATGAGTACAGGATTTGCTGCCCCACCCAGCGTGTACCTGTTCACATACTATTGTTCAACCTAATCCAGGGATCTCTGATGAAGGGAGTGCAGAAAGTGGTAACTAGTCGTCCAGAGGCAGTAGGCCCAGTTTTGAGGACACACTTTCGTAAAGAGGTCTTCCTGAAAGGATTTTCACCAAGTGGGATTGACTGTTTTGTGAAAAAACATCACAAGGATCCCTCTGTGGCAGCTAAGGTTTTGGAGTCCCTACAGTCAAACACTGCTCTTCTTGGACTGTGTCATAGTCCGGTCCTCTGCTGGATTGTTTCGCAGTGCCATAAGGAGCTCCTTGGCTGTGGAGAAGGCAGTCCTCAAACAATGACAGATGTCTACCTCATGATCTTGCAGCACTTCCTCCAGCACCAAAGCTCCACAAAATACACTACAGGGTCCACTTGGCTTCAGGAACACAAAGAAACAGTCCTGCGTTTAGGGCATCTTGCATTTGGGGGGATTAAAACCTCCTGTTACGTCTTCTCAGGTACTGAGCTGGAGACAAGCGGGCTCACTGAAAAGGATGTCAGCTTGGGCTTTCTCATACAAAGCAGAGACTTGTCTTTTGCCCAGAATAAATGCTTTGAATTTCTTCATGTAACCTTACAGTGTTTCTTTGCTGCACTTTACGTTGTTGTGTCAAACAATACTGACCAGTCAATGATCCAAAAGCTTTTCGAGCTGAGAGACATGAGGGAAACAAATCAGAGCAGCATTTGCTTCATGACCTGCCTGCCTTCCTCTGAGAAACCAGAACAGGCTTCAGAAACAACAGCAGAAACACCAAATTTGCAAATAACAGCCACATTTGTGTCTGGACTGCTGTCCCAGCGCCATCAAAGCCTGTGGATCCCCTGCTGCCCTAGCGCTGTGATGAAGAAGAGGACGAGACAGGTGTGGAGATATCTATCCAAAGGCATGCAGAAACACTTTAAGTCCATACCTCAACCAGTAGAAGGAGAGAAGAAGAGCATGCATGCAATGCCAGGCTTTGTCTGGCTTATCAAATGCATCTATGAGATGCAGGAGAGCCAGATTGCCAAAGATGTTATGAGTAAGCTGGAGGTCGACCACTTGAAACTGACTTACTGTAACATCGGGCCAGTAGAGTGCACTGCACTAGCCTATGTTCTTAGGCATTTGAAGAACCCTGTCGGCCTTCAACTGGACAACAACTCTGTTGGAGATGTTGGAGTAGAGCAGCTTCTTCCCTGCATGCACATTTGTAACTCTCTCTAGTGAGTATGACATAACTAAATTAATACTGGACAAAGATTATACATAAATAATGATTGTGGTAATGAGCTAAGAAGTACAAGATATGCTTAAAAGTCTTCTACTTTTATTTCTTCAGCCTCAGGAATAACAACATCACAGATGAGGGGATCTGCAAACTGATTTCTAAAGGAATCCAGTGTGAGAACTTCCGCAAGATTGCGTAAGGCCCAACAAGAAGATAAATAAGACTGATTTGAAATAAAATAATGACATTTCCAAGATTACCTTTCATAACCACCATGGTTCTTTCTAGGCTCTTCAACAATAAGCTAACTGATGCTTGCACGCTCCACTTTTCTCATCTTCTAAAGACCAAGCAGGATTTCCTCTCCATTAGGTGAGATACTGATCTTGAACTATACAAATATGCACTTTGTAGGTGCAATATTTCAAGATTAACAAGCTAACCTCTCTTTTTTCAGGCTAGGAAACAATAATATAACTGCAGAAGGAGCAAAACATTTGGCAGAGGGACTGAAAGTCAACCATTCACTGCAGTATTTAGGGTACAAATCTTCCTGCAAAACTGAATACTTGCCATTAATGGTGGATTTTCCTACATAACTCTCTTTGTGTTTACAGGCTTTGGGGAAACAAACTAGGGGATCCAGGAGCTGAGGCTCTTGCCAGCGCCCTAGAGAGCAGCAACACTCTGGTGTGGCTAAGGTAATATTTGTTTTAAAAATAGCCCAACAATAGGTAACCCTAAGACACTCCAGAAGATATATTACAAGTTTAAGTTTTAAAGTATTAAGCATGTCATACCAATGTGTAAGGTTGCATCTTGACCACTAGTATTGTTACCTTTTATACATTTCAGTTTCATCACCACTGCTGTACATTTTGCCAGCTGAAAATATATCTACTTGTCACTCTAACTCACTAATTAACTTAACTCCAATAAAATAAAAATGTCATGTTATTTGCAGCCTTGTAGGCAATGGTGTTGGCAGTGTAGGAGCATGTGCCCTTGCGAACATCATTAAGAACAGTGCCTCACTGGAAGAGCTGTGGTAAGCTCTGGAAACAAGTTATATTTGTACTTGTAATGACAGTAAATATGACATACCAAATGGCTGATCAGACTCTTCAACACGAGGAGTACAGTACAGTATGTAATGTGCTCTACCCTCTCTCTGCCCACTTATTTCCTGTAAAAGGTTAACTGAAAACTGCATAACCAGACCAGGAGTCGAATGTCTGATTGAAGCCCTACAACACAACACCAATGTGAAATCAGTATGGTATGTACTGTATACAAAGCCAGACACAAATATTTTGACTTTTTGGTCAACATGAGATTGTGAGTTATTTTCATGCTGATTTTGGGGCAGTGCTAGGCCTTTTTGTCGGTTTCAGTGCCAAGATAAACTGTTACTAATGAAACTTCTTCCTGTTTTGACTTTGTTTCCATCATAACCCAGCTGTACGTCACCAGTGATTGACTTTATATTTTCCTGTTATCTTGCAGGTTGAGAAACAATGACCTCACTTTGGAGGAAGTTGAGGAGATGGCACAACGTGAACCCCGACTAATCTTCTGAATGTGAATCAAGCTGGAAATTAATTTATTATAACTTAAAAGAAAGTTGAAATGTATTATAGAACATGTTTTTTATTAAAATGTCATAATATTTCTTAAAGTTTATCTGGCAATTTTTGGGGCTTATTGTAATGCATAAAACATATCCACATTTATCTTGAGTGCTATAATTAGTTTGTGAAAGCATGAGCCCCTATAGCACTGGGCTTATACTGGGCTTATACTTCCCCTTTGCAACAGGAAACAAACACGGCACAACGACAACATAATAAAAGAGGTGATACTAATCAAAAGAAGAAAAAGAACAATAAATGAAGGAGAACAGTAAATCAATATTTACTTTACTTGTGAGTCAAAGCATTTTGTCTGTTCTGAAAATGAACTGCTAATTGTCATGAGTAAATTAAACAGAAAAAGGTTTTGGCACACCTTTTTTTATGAACAGTTTTAAGATATACCACTTCCACTTTTTTGAGTAGATCAGATTTGTTACTTAATCAGCTTCTTCTACTTATCTACATTTTAGATAGAACAGTCATTGCAGTCTTTCAGTCAAAGTTGTTCAGATGCATTTTTCATTGATAATTACTATACAGTATTAAGGCTTACAACACATTTCTGTTTTAGCAAATTAAAATTTGAGAACGATTGTTTAAGTAGAACTTGATCCATAAAGCTGGTAGGAAATTTTCCTACTTGTAGTTAAATAGATTCTTTTGTACTTGTCTTTAATGAATTTGTTGCGTTAATAAAACATCCTTCAGTGATTTAGTTCCTCCCAGCTGCAGCTGCCTGAAGTTCAGTAATACCATCACAGCTTGACGAAAGCTACACTTCAACCGAACTATGTGTTCTGCCCATAGATAGCTGCCATTCATGGGAAAGCCCCACGGGATGGGGCTTGGTGACAAACACAATGAACAGCCAATCAGCAACTCGGAAGAAAAAGACTGACCAATACCCAAAGCGAAGAACAATTACGTCATACATTAACTTCAGCGAGGTCGTCTTCTGTAAATAATATATCTCATAACTGTAGCGACACACTGTATTATTGCACGCATTTTCCTTGGAGAAATTATTTATCTAAATGCTGATATCACACTTTAGATGATGGCAGTACTGTGTCAGCCTGCGGCCATCGGTTAGCTCGTTAGGCTAACTTTACTGTGATTCTGCCTGTGAGGACGCTAGCATTAGCTAGCCATTTGGCTAATCAGAGGTTATTACGGGAGGAATAAAGCTCGTATTGAGAGGCCTGTGCCTGCAGGAGATGGGCATGTGAAATGACAGTCACCTGTAGCCTCTAACTGAATTACCGCGTATCAAAGGTAAGATGTCCGTGTTGTAAATTGAACGTAAACGAGTGTTTGGTTAAATGTAGCCGACGGTACGTTAGCTACTTCCCCCTCTTAAAGGGCCTGTGAGTGACAGCTTTACCCGGGTGATGACAAACCTCTGCTCTGGTTGTCAGGGAGATCTATACTGTAAACGAATAATGACTTTAATATCAGAAACATCGACTTTATGCAGTCAGTGATAACCACATGATTGCTGTCAGACAGCATTATTGTCATACCCGATATAAATGACGGATGTGGAGTGTAAAGGGCTGGTTGATAAGCACATCTGAGGTGTCAGACGGGGAAATCCAGTGTCTGCTTTCTGACTCTTTTCCTTTGTATCACAATAAGTCATCTGCATGTTCATTATCTATTTATGGAATATTGAAATGAGTAAATAAAAGTGATGTCTCATGAGGTCTCGCTTAACACAGGGGGACTGCACAGGGATGACTGGGCAGAAGAGTTGGACAGTACACAGCCTTAAATCAATCATGAGCCATTAGATACGAAGACAACTACAGCAGCAAGCACAGTGAATAACAAGTGTTTACCTGAAGACAGTATCTCAGTAAGATAGAAAGTTTCAGTCAATGAATTTTTACCTTATCTTTTCTGAAGGAACCATTAATAAATATTGAGTGAATATCTGGCACCTTTATGCAATAAAAAAGGTTGTAACAAGTGATTAAAATAGATTAAAAAGGTGGTACTGGATCTTTCTTTAATCATTCTGTTCAGTTTCTTATTTCAGTGGAATTCAATACTTGGCTTATTGACAATCCCTTTACAACTGATTAATGAAGTTATCTCCAATGGTTAAGCTCAGAGTCCGCTCTGAGACAGAACTGACAAGCAGTCTACTTGTTATTTGTTTTCAATCTTCATATATGTGTGACATAAAGAGTATGCAGCTGCACTAATAAATGCAGTTTTATGAGTGTGTTCAGACCATTAGTGATCCTACACAAAGAAAATAAAAAAGTAGTTTGCCTGGAAAAATATTCTGTTCATGTATCCTTAAGCTGTAAACAACTTAAAACAAGCTATTACATTTTTTCATTTGAGACACCTGTGACTTTCATGAAGTCCTTTTTTAAAGAAAACATTGGGATTGAAACACATAATTGAAGTAATTGTGACATGCTGTCTGCCTGTGTTATTGTGTCAACAGACCAGAGGTCAAGCTTGCCTTGATGTTGGACCTCCAGCGTAGCATGCAGCGATGAGCTCTGTACTGTGGAGTCAGGAGAAGCCAGGTGGAGGCTTTAGGGAGGACTGGCGCTTCTATATGGTGATAAAGGAGTGTACAGTGGAGAAGCCTCCCCAAAAGACCCTAAGGATCCCCCGTGGCAGTCTTGGTCAAGCCTGCCAGGAACGTAACAGCCTGGGACGAACATTGCCCCCATGCAAGGGCAAGAAGAGCCTTCGCATCCTGGACCAGACCAACGTGGTGCTGGGCCTGGATGAGCGGGATGTCCTGGAGCTGGATGAGAAGCTGGCTGAGCTGCTGTTCCCCATTACTAACTGTGAGGAGAGATATGCACTGCTCTGCAACAAGTCACGGCTAGAGCGTGTTCGTGATATTGACTGTGGTTCCAAGGTGCGTGTCCAGCTGCGCTCAGGTGATGAACCTTTACCAGGTGTGGTCCGCTTCAAAGGCTCATTGCTCCCTGACAGAGCCCTCTCTGGAATCTGGTTTGGAGTGGAACTGCTGGTGAGACTTTCATAACTTCTTTTCATGTGTGCGTGGGTAGGTTGGGGTGGGACGGTTGGTCATATTAGTTTTGTGTCGTATTACTTAGTTTTAGCAGGTGTCACTGTGAACAGTATCTCAAGCTGTCCTGCGTGGCTTGTGCAACTTATTTTCAGTTCACTGAAAACAAAAGAAGCAGCCACAAACTGGTTCTGGTTAGCATTCTTAAGAAGGTGATTATGCTTAAGTGCCACTTCTTAATTATGTCCTAATCCAGCTCTGGCCGACCACACTTCCCGCAAATGAAACACAAATCAGAGCAAGAAGTGCAACCATTTCTGCTTGGCCTTAATAAGTTAATTACCTCATAGCGGTTGAAATAAAAGTACTCCTGTGGAAAATAAACAAGACAAAAATACATACAGTGCAATCACCCAGAGCCACTCTGTGCTATGTGTCTTATTGGATGATAGTTATAAAAATAACCTATAGCAAGCATTGAACCATGAACCCTTTATATAAGTTTTTTCTGTCAGCTGCAGAGCTGCTTTATTGTCTGTTTTGCAGTGTTTTGAAGCTTAAGGCATTATTTCCAAGGCTGGAAGAGAAGACAACTTTTTGTAGAAGTGAACATCTTGAAATTTATTTATCATGTCTCAATTTAAAGAAAATCTCAGTCAGATCTGCTACATATTTTTTTCAGTCTCATGTATTTGGTCAATTTCTTCCTTTTGTAAAAAAGCTTTTAGAGACCTAGACTGTCAAAAATGGTTGTTGTTTAGAAAAGGCTCAAACAAAACTGCAGTGTTTAGTCTGACATGAGGATAAATGACTATAAATGACCCCGCATGAGAAGAATGAGGATATCAAAATGCCTGTCTTTGTTGATCTTCTTATCTCAACAATGAATCTGATTATTTGACATCATGCCATTAATGTTGTACTATGTGTACAGTACAGTTATTACTGAAATATAAAGGGGTAGTTGTTTGAGAACAATGATTTTATTCTTCTGGGACCAGCTGTGGTCTTCTTGAGTGGGTTGATGGAGCTCAAGCATTCAGAGTCTAGTTGAATATAAAGGCGTCAGAATTTGCACTTATAGTTCAGATGGGACTCTGGTTGAATGTTCCTGAGCAAGAACAGTGTTTTTGGATCTATTTGTTAATGAGTCTGCAAAAAGTAAAAGAGGGCACTTTTTTATCCAAAGAGTGTGAGAAAAGTTGCGCAGTACATAACCGTATTTTTATGAAAACATCCATTGTCTGTCCTAGCAATATTTAAATGGATTTATCATCTCAGTCAAGTCATATTTCTGCTGCAGTAATCGATCAAATGCTCTCATAGATGCTCTGTAATGTTGACTCCCTTCCTCTGGAGTCTGCTGAGCAAGCAGCTCACTACCTGCCCTACTTGTTATGACAATGGGTCGCTCATCTCTCTTGCTCCTGTTCTGTCTCACTCTCTGCATTTATCTATTCATCTTTTCTTAACTCTCTCTTTCACCAGGAGGAGGGTCGGGGCCAGGGCTTCACGGAGGGCTCTTACCAAGGCCGCCAACTTTTTCGCTGTGAGGATGAGTGCGGTGTGTTTGTGGCCCTGGACAAGCTTGAACTCTGGGAGGATGATGATGACGAAGCTTTGGGCGAGCTGGAGGTGGATCATGTTAATTTAGTGGAAGATGACCAGGACTACCCTCCTCTGGAAATCAACTCCAGGGTCATTGTACAGACAAGGGATGGACCAGAGAGAGGAACCATAATTTTTTGTGACCTGCTGCCAGGAAATGAGAGCCTTGGCTTTTATGTAGGGGTTGACATGGTAAGGCTTTTATTTTATCCATCACTGCATGAATTAACACAGACAGAAAAACATAGTCAATCATGATGCACAGGGCAGGTTTTAACTGGTTTAATGATTTATTTATAAGCCAGTGAAAAGCGAAGAAAAATGAATAAGCAAAGATCCAACATTTTGTACTTGAAGTTTTTCAGTATGAGGATTTACTACTTTTACTGTCTGATATTTCATAACTTAAAAACCTGTAAGTGCTTTGTTCAGGTTTCAGTAAACTGACTAGATGATGCATCATACATTGAGCAAATAATTCACAGATTAACTGACTAAGAAAGGAGGACGCACACAGTTTTGGCCTTCTGATGCTTTCAGCAGGTTAGTTGAAAAGACTGATAAGAATCATTTTGAGTCAGTATGACTTGCCTAACTTTTTAGAAAATGTGCTGTCTTGGCAAATTTAAACCCACGACCAGGTCTGTTTGTTTAATCTGACAGCTTCAACAAACAGCTGTTTTGTCTCATCATATCATATTTTAACTTAATCTCATCGTATAATATCTTAACTTCTCTTGTATAGAGATTGAAACAAGAGTTACAGTGAATGCAGCTTTATCTAAAGGTAACACCTGTCTCTGCCTGTAAAGCTTGCCAATTAATCTGGTGCATTTTATTTGTTTGTTTGTTTGTTTGAGCCGGACACAACCTGCAGTTAAAAATGACAAATTACTCTTTCTGTGTGGGGGGTGGTGGTGGTGGGGGGGCAGACTCTGCAGCTCACTAGGGTGTCCCCTCAAGCCGAAAACATACAGGACCCGTGTTGAGCACGATCAGTTAGCGTTGCGTCTCTGCTCCATCGAACAGCGCTGTCTATCGCCCACAGGATGCGTGTTTGGAGCGTAGCAGCAGCGTAGCGCAGCCCCGGTCAGCTGGGCTCTATGGAGGAAACAACCTGCTCACAACAGGTTGTTTTGCCTTTCTGTGGTCTATTTCCTGCTAATTTGGATATAATTCAGTGACTCCTGAGCTTCTACTGTATGTGAAAAAACAACATGATTTTACAGTTTCGGTTTTTGCAGGTTTACTCATGTTTAATAAAGTAAACTATGTTCCTTTATGCTGTGCTGTTACCTTCAGACAGAGTTAGTAGTTAAAAGTCCTGTTGGGGTCCACATGGATCAGGGATTGACCATCGGATTGTTCTGTGTTAATAATAATTATAATCAATAACCACAAGTATTTCTCATCTACATGAACTGATACACACATATAGTGTTTTATTTTGAAATTTACCGGATGATGTGCGTGGTTTTCGTGCTTGACATCCTGTCTAGAATGACCTGTCCTGTGTAGATTGACACGTGTTGGAAGCGTAGAGCAGAGAAAATAGACTCGCCGCGTATCTTTTGCAGAGCCACCCTCGACACGTGTCTGAGACGGAGCTGCGACGCGTCCTGTGTGTGATGTTGCATTGATTAGAATGGCAACCTATTTGCTGCATGACATGTGACGGGGACAGAACGCACTCAACACAGATCCTGTATGTTTTGGGCTTAAGTTATCTAGCAAAAGAAACAGGAAACTATATAAATATTAAAAAAAAAGTGTATTTACTTGCATCAAAAGACAGTACGTGACCACAGATATAAAGTAAATGATGTGAAATGGACCATCACCTGTTGTTTATAGGTTTGAATGAAGCGTCCCTTACATGTTCAATTAAAGTTTTAACATGAATAGAGGCGACCAGAAAGAACAGCTGTGGTCCTGAATTTGTATTTGTCAAACATCCACTCTAGCTGATTTGGTAAACTCGCTAAATGTCTCACTCCTTAACAGATACTGGCTGCTATTCTCAGTTTTGCTGTTTGCCAAGTGAGAAAGAAGGAAAGAGATTTGGTCAATTGAATGTTATTCAGGTGTATCACTGTGTAGGGAGGAAGAAAAAAACATGGATTTTGTTGAGATTAGACACTCAGTGTGGAGAGAGTTTGTGTGCTCTTGACCACCATGCTTTCAGAAACAACTCATAAGCTGAGAATGCAAATAAAATGTTTTTTCCTTCTGTGAAAGAAAGGAAAATAATTAGATCAATTTAGTACGGTCATGTCATTCCAAAATAGATTTTAATACCATTAAATGTTACATTTTGTTTTGCAGTCGGTGTAAGATTCAGATTACAAATCTGCTGCTGATGATGTAAGATGATGTGGGCCCTGCTTCTGCAGAGGGCAGCAGCAGGTCACTCATTTCAGTTTTCGTGTCAGATTTTAGGAGTTAAAGTCTTCAGTTTCTGTTTTGCTTGTGTTTTGGCTTTTCTTTTCCTTTTCTGCATGTAAGGAAGATGTCTTGTTGCTTGCTATCAAGATATCTGGTATCTATGACTACTGTTGTCATGCGGGAGTTGTATTGTTGTCAGCGAGAGATTGAAACACATAACTGAGGCATTTGACTGCTGATCGTTAGCAGCAGCACCAACAGCAGCAGCAGCCTACTCAGTGTATCTGAGCCACCCACACAAAGGCAAGGCAGTCACGCGGGGAGTGAGGTAAAGACTTAGAGCTGTATGACCCAACAGCGTGGCATGGGGCCAGCAGGCAGCTGAGGGGAGCCCACTGCTGTGCCTCACTCTGCGTCCAGCCTCGCCCTGCCTCCTCTTGCTAGTGGCACTGGCTTCACACTTACCCCAGATTATCCTGCTGGAGCAGCATTTCTGAGTTTAAGCTAAAAAAGAAGAATAGTGTGGTTGTTCTTGCAAAAAAATGCAGATCTTTCAAGTGAAAGGATTGGGAATTGAAGAGCTGTTGTTTAAGAGAAGAAAATGAGATGAGCCGTTTGGATTCAGAGAAGATACAAGAGATCACACTTAAAAAAATTTTTTGGATACAGCGATTAGACACTCTCCAAAAAGATCGTAGGAAGCACTACCTTGATCACTTTCAGAGAGATGAAGAACGCCTGGAAGGTTCATGAGGTTGTCATGTCTCCAACTCTTTCAGGACAATCCTATCGGAGACTGGGATGGTGTGTTCGACGGGAAGTTGCTGTGTAATTTTGCCAGTTTGGAGCACACCCGACTCGTCCCCATCTGTGACGTAATGCCAGGTGAGTAAGTAAGTGTTTGTTTGTCTGCTGAAAACATTCAGCTGCCCCGCTCGGAGAAGCTCTCAGCTCCTTCTGAGTGTCCTGAGTTTGTGTTTGGCTTGCAGCGGGGAACAGAGAGCCTTTTGTGCCAATGGCTCACTTGTTTTTGAAAGTCAAGTGACATACTCAGGCTCTTTGTTCTTGGCATTGGCATATTGATTTGTTGATGTGTGCAACTGCCACTCTTGAATATTCATCATTGCATATAGAAAATATAAACCATTAGAAGTATTGTTGTGATCCTTCAGATTAGTCAGTTTTTTGTTTATGTGCTCTCATTTGTGTTTAGATATGCCAGATGAAACATAGATTATGACAAAGAAAAGCTACTTAATCTCTATCAAAACAAAAGTGGTTATCTATTGTTTTGGATGTGTTATGTTGGTGATAGTCAGTTAAAATGATCCCAGATGATAGTCAGCCTGTTTACAAAGTGATAGGAAAAAATTCTAACAATGAATTTTATGATAACTTTGTCATCAGTGTCAATATCTTTGGTCTGCCAGTCAGTAGTTTGGCAAAAGTTGTTAGATAGTTAAATTCTTTGCTTGACAGATGTCTGGCGGTATCACACACCCAAATCATGTTTCCTGTAGATAACTAAAATAAAATCTTCTTTTTCCCTCAGGGTGTTAAACTGTGTTCATTCAAATTGAAGTGAGAAATTTAAAGTAGTGAAGGGTAAATGTGAATGATTAGACATTAAAAGTGGGCTGTGGCAGAGATCTAGGGCTTGTTAGTGTAACACAGACTGAAGGGGGTGATGTGCCTCTAATGTGGATGTATTTCTGGGCTGTGCAGAACTTTCGATGCAGGACCAAAGGCTGCAAAAGCACAGTTTTGCCCCCAGAGGCACCAGCAGTGACAAGTCGTCCTCTGGCCAAAGCAAACCAAAGAGCAAAGGTACTGCACTGCTGCTACGATACAAACCTAACTGATGTCCCCACAGCTTGGTGTGAGGATAACTCTTAAAGGGGCCTTTCATCCAAAATAACTGGTGGTGATTTTACGTTGACAAATTCTAATTGGACAGTTTCCTGCTGTGATCATTTCCTGAACCAAGTCATTTTTTGGTTGTAGAGAGCCTCTGAATGAACAGTTTTGGTTGAACTTGTAATGATTTCAGAAGGGAAAAAGAGAACTAAAACCCTTTTGGTGGAAAGCCCCTTTACCAAGATATTAATTATAGAGGGCATGCCTAACTTCACTTATAACAAAATATGAGGAATTCTTGCCACAGCTTCATTAAATCAATGTGAATGGAATTTACCTTCATTTGTTTATGACTTTTCTTTGTATTTCTGTTGCTTAAAAAAAAAAACTACTACTGATTGATTGATTGATTGAACGTTTCACCCAGAATTTGCTCTCTTTTAGTCTTCATTTGTCTGCTGCTGAAACAAAGGACAAAACTCTCTCAGACACACACACTCACACTCACTCACACACACACCTGAACACATACACATTTTGCTTATTCCTGTCTCTTTCTTTTTTCGTGTACTTTGTTATTTCCAGGACTAGGTCATCAGTGTGGCAGTAGGAGCAAGTCTGAATTTTACTATACTTTAAATGGCAGCTCTGTTGACCCCCCAGCCCAGTCCAAATCCAAAAGCACATGGTACATTGATGAAGGTAAAATACGGGTACTCATGGGATGTCAACCATCTTACTGGCAAGCTCCTGTCTACAAAAAACTACAAACTAATAAGTTTGGGTACGGCACACCTTTATCGGGGCTGTATGATTTTAATTTACTAACACTGGCAGGATCACGGGTTCTATATCCTCTTGGGCTATTTACACTCTGGTACTGTGATACTACTAATACCAGCGTCCTCTCAATGTAGCATACTTTAGTTTTGTCAGTTTATTTTTATTCTGCATAAGAGCCAGTTTCTCCCACTTGTGAAAATCAAATAGCACTCACTATAAGTGAATATAAATATTGTGACTGTTAGAACATCAGATTTAAACTCTAATTAAATAACAAAAAGTAGAGATTCTCATGAGATCTGCTGACAAATAAACTAACTTTTACTGCTGCTTTTCCTGTTGACAGAAATAATGATGACCTATGATGTCTCATATTTTTGACTCTTTGTATGGCGTGTTATTTGTTATTGACCAGCAGTTGTCTCAGTCATCCAGTTTTTTGTACAAATTTAACAACAACTGAACAGAGCTGTGGTGCTAAAACAGCAGCAGTTCGCTGTCTTCACCACGCCAGCTCATATAAGACATACCACCAACACAACTGATCTGATCCCTGGACAGAAATAGTTTACAGACAGATACAGAAGAGGTAAAATTTAGATGTAACTAAACTGGAATAAAGCAGGGGTCATTTATTGACTTACTCTCCTTTTTGTATTTTTCATGCTATAACCGGGCATGCTCATTGCAAATTGTGTTTTTTCTCCTCTTCTCCAAGTGTGTAATACAAAAAATAGACCAAAAGAGACAGAGGAGGGGTCTCATACCATTTCTCACAAGTGGTGTAATTTATAGATTTATGACAACTGTATATTATTTTTTTAAAGATGACAAAATTGTGTAAAAATAAAACTCAGGGTTGATATGTTAGACAATACCTTTAAAAAAATTCTTTAACTAAAACAGTGAAATAGTTAGTTTTTTAAAAAGTATTTTTTTCTTTTACCTTTTCAACAAGTGGGAGGAATTGAGTTTCTATTGAAAGAAGTATTTAGTTTCCATATGAGAAGTAACTTTTGTAGTTCCTCTATTCTGGGACAAAAAGCCCCTTTGATTCCTGATAGGGGGAAGACAGGATCTGTTAATGCAAATTTCCTGGTAGAAACTTGAACCTGTTGCAAATGCAAAAATCAGTGGTTTGTTGCAGTAGCTTGCTGTAAAGACTTCTTCACTAGTCTCGTCCTTCATCACCATTTTAGTGTGGAATTCCACCTGCATGGAGTAGTTGGTGTTGCTTCAAGGCTTTTAATAATGCTCAGTACTGCAAATATTATCTTACCTGTCTTATAGATGGACGTTAAATACAATTTGCAGGACAAAGCTTTAGTAAAAGCCTCTTTTTTATGTGAAGACTGATTCAATCAGTCTGCACATGGGGTCATTGTTCAGTATATATCTCCTCCAGACACAAGTCTGATTTATTTTTATGGTTTTATTGTTAAATAAATTATCTGCACATGTCATCACCAATGCATGCCAGTTGTGAAGAAGTTAATGTGCTTTACAAAACAAGTCTGTACATGATCATACTTTTTACTGAGACTTGTGTTCTGTTTGGGATGAATTAGGGACTATATATGTTCTTATCAGTACTTACAAGCAAGATACAGAAGTATCACAGGAGGAATAAACTTGGTCAAGCTGTGAAATTCACAGATTATTCACAATAATAAAGGCTGGGAAATGTACCTGCACAGTTATCTTTATTAAAGCAGGAATTATGAGAGGTCAGGCTTAAGTGACTGACAGCCTTATTCACAACTGCCTTCTCATCCTGTGAATGTGTAATCATTTTCATCTTCCACAGGGTCACTCTCCACTTTTTGGGATGGTTTTCTTTGTGACTGTTATGGTGCTTTTATTTCTGTCAGAAGTCATCACAGTTCTCTCAGCAGAAAAGTGGTTCACATGTGGATGTATACACTTAAAGGTGAATGCCACTTTTTTAAGAATTCACAGTGCCTGGGACTTTGTCAGGCTGTGAGATACAGAATGATGGTGATATTACGTACATCACAACTGAAGGATCTTTAATGTGTGCTCAGATTAACACGATAACTGTGTGTTTCAAAAACACATGAAGGGGTTATGGGGTTGGTGTATTATAATGGTTGTATTGTGATGAATGCTATAATTGGACTTGTAACTTCTGCAAAGGCTGACTTTCGCACAAACCTTTGACACATTTAAAAGTTGCTATTTGGATGTGTCAGACTTTGAATTGCAGTGATATCAGAGATTGGTTAGCACTGGTGAAGTGGGCTGACTTATTGACGCAATACGTGAGAAAATGCTGGTCTGTGAATTCTTGGATTACGTGGCATTCCCCTTTTATAAACTCATGAGTTTTCAATATCGGTGTTTTGAAAGGTAATTTTCTATACAACACTTGAACAGAAACCTTAAAGACTACATATCTGAAAATTGCAAATTCCATCCAGTAGATAAAATTAAGTGAAGTTCAGATAGTAATTTGTTTACAATCACACAGAATTGGGAATCTGTACACAGGGCATCAACTCTTAAAAACAGGGCATTTGCACAATTGACCCAAATACTTGTACTCAGATGGTGTCTTGTTTTCCTCCTCCCATGTCATTAGAGAAGGGTTGTTTGTTTCTTGTTGAAGTGGAGTTGTGTGAGGTACTTGTCAGTATCACCCCAGAGGATGCAGGTCAGCCCCGTCTCTGTTTTTAGGAACTGAATGGTAGAACCAGTGTGGAAGTGAAGTTATTGGCTGCTGAAGATGGGTTTCAGAAGCTCATTTCTTTTCACACACATTTGATCATTGATCAGCTAACTGGGTCTAAGATTCTCGAGTCAATTTTTCCTTTACCCAGCTATATTGTGTATTTTGATCTGGAGTATATGTAAATCGGTTTAAGATAACCAAGCAACAATCTAAAAGCAACAAGCCAAACATCATCAGACCGGCGCAATAATGGTTGCAGAGTTTGTTATTTCGGGTCAACAAACACAGAGCATTTTGGTGGAGTGAACACACCATGTGGACCATATTTTATGTCATCATGTGATAAAAAAAACAAGAGCTGAAAACTTACTTTGTAGACACTCTTGCATTTTGATTGTTTGATTTTCTGAATAATTTATAAAACTGAAGAAAGTTGGTCAGACAGTGGTGGTCATTGAGGCAGTAATGCAGCAGCATGGTATCACTGAAATCCTCTGATTTATAAAGAAACTTGACATGCTGCGATAAATGCTGTGTCATGTCAGATTCCCACATTTTTTAGTTAAGTTGTATTTTTGTCTGTTTTGTAGACCAAAGACCCAAACAGCTGATCACTGTGCACCCATCCAGAAACAATGCAAACACAAATAAGCCTTATGACTGTGAAGTCAAGCTCAGACATGCAGTGTATGCTGGGAAGTAATTTTAAAATTAGCTAAATAATATGGTAGAGCTGAGCCAGTCTGTAGTGGCTGATAGCCTGGCTCAAAAGCTGACCTGCATCCTTGAGAGTAAAACACCTTCTGTTGATAAGTACCTCACATAACCCCACTTCAAAACGCCCATATTATCTTCTTGTTGTTTTTTTAATATGCTGTCACTATGTTTTAAGCATTACCATCCATCTCCTTCATATACTTTGAATGTTTTCTTGTACTCTCAAATGAACCTCTTATCTGAACTGTGGACCAGGGAAAGTCCTTTGAAATGCCCTCACGGTGTAGAAATGATTTCAGTTGTCAAGTAATAGCGAGAGTGTGTATATATATATATATATATATATATATATATATGTATTATATATTATATTTCTCTGTGTCAACAAATAACCGACTTAACTTTTCCCCCAATGATTCTGACATTTAAGAGAAAATACTCTCATACTTACAAAATCTCATCTCATTACCCAAATGTGATAATGAGTTAATCTGCAGGGAATTTATAGGAGAACTCAAAAAGAACTTCACTCTTTTAATGAATGAAAACCTGATGGTGCTGATGAACTGCAGGTGAACAGCATCAGTGAGCAGTGAAATAGGAACACAATGAGATAAGCTACCAGTGAAAAAGTGACTTTGAATTAAGTTTTGATTTTCTGGCTTTTCTCCTGCAGTTGGAGAGGACCCTGCCAAGTCCCTCACTGACACGCCCCCTGACTTCAACCAATCCTCCCCACCCTCCAGAGCCCCGCCCTCTGCCTCGTTGTCCAGTGACAACAAGTTCCACTCTCTGCCCTTCAGCTTGAACCGGAAACCGGGGCCCATCGACAGTATGAGTCATGGGCCCCTCTCCCTCTCTGTTCAGTCAGTGATGGGGGAGCAGCCTGAACCTTCATCACCTGCTGCTCCTCCCTCACCACAGCCCCCAACTCCTCCACGAGGACAGCCTGGTCTGGAGGTGGGCTCTCTGGTGGAGGTGAAGGAGAACCCCCCTCTGTGCGGTGTTATCCGGTGGGTGGGTCTGCCTCCTGGCCTGCTGGAGCCTTTGGCGGGGTTGGAGCTGGTGAGAAAACACAGCAGTGTGCACTAACAGTTACACTATGAGTCACTGAGGTGGCGATGGGTCCGTTTTTTATTTCACTATGAAAGACGTGAGCTAATTTGCTGCATGCATGTAACTGCTGTTTCTACTGCTAACTGATGAATTGATGACAACATTAGTATCTTCAAAGAGTCTTTCATTATTTTAAACCTGTTTTGATCTCATCAATTATTCTCTTATGTGTCATTAGCATGCATGACTTTTAATTTTGCTGGGCAAAGCAGTCAAAACTGGCAAGACTAAACATCGAATCTTGCTGATCTTTTTGAGTACATGCTTTGTTTTGTTATCAAAAATATCTTCTGCTCTTTTTTAACTTAATTACTCAGGGTGAAAATTGCTGACAAAGACACTTATGTAATTAGTGCTGTTAATCACTTTTTCTCCATGCTGCTGGTCTTGTTGGTTTTTATACCTACGAGCATCTCTGCAGCTAAATAGAACACATTAAATCTGTTTTGTGTAATCCTTAGAAACGTCAAAGTTGTTTTCTGCTAGGCTATTTCTGAACCTGGCTCTGTTACTTCCTGGAGATTTTAGAAAGTTGTCAACAAGTGAAAATAAATGCTCCCTATATGTTGAGCTTTTTTCTTTTAAACAACACATTGGTGTTAATAGTGGGGAAAAAAGCAGCACAAGGGAGAAAATTCAATATAGAATATCTGACACAGCAGTCGAAGTAGAACCTGGAGCATTTGGAGCAGTTTAGAATAAGAAAATACTTGTTCACGGTAAAATTATGGTACATCACTGTTACTGTGCAATGTTGGTTTGACTTACTTTTCCAGGAAGAAGAGTGTCCTGGTTGCACTGACGGCACCTTCAAAGGTACTCGCTACTTCACCTGCCCACCCAAAAAAGCTCTCTTTGTAAAGCTCAAGTGCTGTCGGCCTGACTCCCGCTTCCCATCCCTGCATCACTCGTCCAACCCCATAGAAAGATGCAACTCCATTGGTGAGTCAAAAGAGGAAAAGACTTACTGAAGGCACCAAATTCAACAACATCTCTCGTTTTAATGTTGGCTCTTACTGCTCTTGGTGTTTTGCAGCATTTGGGGGTTACCTCAGTGAGGTTGTGCATGAAAACACACCTCCCCGCACAGAGAATGATGGTCTGGATGTCATGGTGGGAAAAAAGAAAGGCATCCAGGGTCATTACAACTCCTGCTACTTGGATTCCACCCTCTTCTGGTCAGCACTGTTTTGGACTAGCAGTAAATGCATTTCATTGGTAGTTTATGATGTTTTGTATTAACATTTTCAGACTTGAGTCTTATTGATGAGTTGTATAGAACTCCCTTGGCTGGTGGTGCTGTGTTTGCCCGGAGGCAAGAGCTTGTTAGTAAACTGTTTTGACTTTGCCCACTGGCAGGTTGTATTCCTGCTGTGAGCAGGCTGGTGGATACAGGATCTGTTGTTTTTGCTAACTCTGCCAAAGGGCCATTAAAAAAAAGCAGTCAAGCCAAGCAACTCCACTTAACTACAGGGGAGTAAATTGTTTGAATACACTTTGACCAGTGTGAAGTTTTGAGGTTTAGATTTGAAGTTTGACCTCTTTAGAAGTGCTGTAATTAAAAACAACAACAACACTGATTGTAACCCTTGAGTGTGTGCTCTGCCCCACAGTCTTTTCTCCTTCAGCTCAGTTTTGGACACAGTTCTGCTGAGACCACGTTCAAAGACTGATGTGGAGTACTACAGAGAGACCCAAGAGCTTTTACGCACAGAGATAGTTAACCCCCTGCGCATGTAAGTCTAAGTTGCCTCACTGTGAACATGGTCTGTCACAGGATCTTAAAACTTCTTCCTACTCACAGTTTTGACTCAGCTTTCGCCGCCTGTTGAGGATGTGATTAATTTTTCTTTTCTTCTTGAAAGAATAATAGATTTCTTTCTTCAGGTTTCTTCCAGAATAAGAGTCTCCTCATGATTAGAATTCAGAGATATCAAAAATAAACAGACCCATGTGTTTTTTAAATCAAATGTTATGTTTTGGTTTTGTCACTCACACACCCTGCAATGTCTGAATATAAAATTAGATGCATATTTGGCTCATGGAGCTGTGTTCATCAATCTGTATGTTGCTGTTAAGCTAGCTTGTAACTTGCTTTGTCCTCTACTCTCCAGACATGGGTATGTTTGTGCCACTAAAGTGATGAAGCTACGAAGAATACTGGAGAAAGTCGAAGCTGCCTCTGGATTTACCTCTGAAGAAAAAGGTAGGAGAGTGAGATGAATAAGTTGTTTACTGGTCTTTAAGTCATGTCATGTAAAGTTCACGGTTATCATTGAGGTGGTTTTGATTGCATCATGATGGTGCATTCAGTCTGTTCTGTAGTGATGGTGTAGCATTTCATATTGATGCCCTAGTCTTTGCTGTTATTGTAGCGTCTGCATGTGATGGCAGCATATAAACAGAAATGTTATCTCGTGTCTCATATAAGCACATTTATTGATGCAGATCCCGAGGAGTTCCTAAATATCCTTTTTCACCACATCCTGAGAGTGGACCCATTGCTTAAGCTAAGGTGAGGTCATGGTTTCTTCTACAGGCACAGTATGATATGACTAACACTGTTTGTACTCTTTTCTCATGATCTTCTAGTTTCCATCTTACTGAGCAAACGGTTTGGTAAAAATAGTTAAGATGTGAAACTCGTTATTTAATTGTTGTGCTTACAAGATTCTACAGATGCAAATTTAGGGACATGACCGCTTAACTGCAGACAGTATTTAAATCTGTAACGTGTAGATTAACACAGACACATAGTTTCACTTCTGTTTTACACTGAGGATTTATCAGACAGTGTGCAATGTGGTTAAGCTGTGAAAGGGCACTTTTTGGTTATTTTAAGATAATTTCCCCTTTAATCGTTCTTCAGGATCTGTTTCAATGCAGATGAGCAGACATTTGGTGACTTTTGTTAAGAGTACCTCTTCTAAAACAATTAAAAAAGACTCAACCAATATCTTCTGATATCTTTTGTTTTGTGCAGTTCAGAGTAGATATTTTTTGTCTATTTAATGCATAAGATAAACTTTGATATAAACTTGTTTTAGTCGCGTTAAAAACTTCAAGTTTTTGTCGAATAGAATTTTAAAACATTTCCTAAAAGGGTCTTGTGTTTTTCAGGTCAGCGGGGCAGAAGGTCCAGGACTGTTATTTTTACCAGATCTTCATGGACAAGAAGGACAAAGTTGGAGTTCCAACCATCCAGCAGCTCCTGGAGTGGTCCTTCATCAACAGTGACCTCAAGTTTGCAGAGGTGAGTTTTAGTGAGCCCTACCTTGTGTTGTGAAAGATTAGCCTGAGTGTAGTAGTAAGATTTGTATTGTTGCTAGAGTTATCTAATACACGCTTGTTTGGCACAGTCATTTTCAGCTTATAGATTACGACTCAAGTCTTTGAGCTAAATCCTGGCTTATACAAAATGATAAATTAAGCCTTGATTGATCCCAAGAGGTGAAATGTTCCAGTCACAACAACACCAAAACAGCCAGGAATACAGATAAAGGAAAATAAACAACAGCATTTACAGTGCTTCCAAAAGTGTGAGACATGTTGGGCAACAAATACTCAAATGTATTTATGAACACCTACATGCTCAATCTTCACATCAGCGGAAATAAATAATGTGTTCATTACAGTTGCATTAATAACAAAGAATTAACTAGAATAGCTTTTGCAGTCACATGAAGTCAGAAACAGTAACTTTGATACACGATGCTGCTGTGATGTTACATTTAGGGTATGAAGAGTTTTTCTTTTGAATCAAACAAAGTGGGCAACAGACTTTTTGAAAATATTCAATGTAATATTCTACAATTGTGGCTTTTCAAACTAATCAGGTCTATAAATTGTTTTATCCAAAATCACTTCTGTAATATTGCTGGCCTGCGTTCAAATCTCTCAAACTACTTGTGTAACTTTTTGTAACTTAGGTGTTGTTGTTTTCTTTTCTGTGGCAAAGCTGAAGATGATACTCTTTTCTTTAGTTTAAGTGTTGACAAGTGGATAGATGAAGGTGAAAACACTTTACATGGGTTGTATTTTGTCCATGTCGTGGCTTGCAGACTGATTGCCAGCTGCACCCACACCGACAGTGACAGCTAATATGATGAGCTACACAAGAGACCCAAAACAGACCTGAAATTACACTGCCTGGATAAGAAGCAGCATTTGCTGACTTGATACTAATTGAAACAAGAGATATCAAATTCAAAGTCTATCATCACATTTCTGTTGTTTGTCCTTTTATTACATTTATCCTTGATAGTTATTGTCTGTAGTTTATTGGATTCTGAACCTCCTCAGGCTTTGTTGATAGTCTTTGTCTCCAGGTTTCAGTGTCTGTCTGCACCAAGCTTTACAAATGTGCCCATGCTGCTTTGTTGACATGTTTTCTTTTTCTGTTTTTTTCCCCCCTTCCCTTCCCAGGCTCCCTCCTGCCTTATCATCCAGATGCCCCGCTTTGGAAAGGACTTCAAAATGTTCAACAAGATTTTCCCTTCACTAGAGTTAGACATCACAGACCTTCTTGAAGACAGTGAGTAGATGCCCTCTTCTCCGTGTGATGTGTTCCTGCTGATCAGTTGTGATTGAGATCTGTGTGGCATTTGTCACTCATACCCCTTAAGTTGAAATTTATATTTAGTGGGTGTGAGGGAACCTGGTGTTTTCAAACTTGCTCTTAATTTATTGAAGGACTAAGGTTTTGTGCCGTGTGCCAGCCAGAATAAAAATCTGTGTCTTCATTATCCAGCTCCAAGGGAATGTCGAATCTGTGGGGGCCTGGCTCTCTATGAGTGTCGAGACTGTTATGAAGACGGGGATATCACTGCTGGCAAGATCAAACAGTTCTGTGAAAAGTGCAATACACAGGTAAACAACAGAGGGCATTAGTGCAACACCAGTTCAGTCAAAAAGTTGTAATGACTGGATGCATCAAGACCCTCCATTTGGTGGCGCCAAATCCAAAGAAAACAGATTGTTCCAGTGCAGCAGTTCTGTCAGGGAGAGTGGATTTTTACACAGGGGCTACGTAAATCATTTCACCTGCTTGTACTCTGGACATTTACTAAAACATTGTTGAAAATACAGTCCTATTTTTGGAACCACCACCTGGAAGTATGGATCCACAGTTGTACATTTAGTGTTTTTATTTTATGGACTCTTTTAATGTGAATGTTGTATGAAACATGTTGGCTGTAAATTATATTGTTGATCTCTTCTGGCCCGAGAAATAATTAACCTGTGAAATGGTGTCTGATTGTGTTGGTTCAGGTCCACCTCCACCCGAGGAGAAAAACCCATCGGCATGGCAAACTGTCTGTCCCCAAGGAGCTGCAAGAGGGAACAGGGCGGCAGGGCAGTTTTCCCCGCCAGAGGATGGAGCTGTTCGCCGTACTGTGTATTGAAACCAGTCACTACGTGGCCTTTGTCAAGTACGGCAGCGCAGATTCTGCCTGGCTCTTCTTCGACAGCATGGCAGATCGGGATGGTAGGTGTCGGAGCCTTTTGATGTTTTTTTTTTTTTTTGAAGACATCAAATTTATCCTTAAATTGCCTTTGATTAGGTGCAAGAAAGTTGTTTTTTTAATGCTTAAGAAATCTCTCAGTTCTCATGGAAACATATTTCTGAAACCTTGTGAAGTAAACTAATGAATCACTTAGATAAAAACTTCCATGAATTTTTACATTTCTGTTAGACTGTGAACCCACTTTTTATTTTGTGATAATAGTGATGGTTTTGTTTTCTGGTATTTTTTTCATAAAGGTTGAGTAATTGTTTAAATCAGTGAAATTTATAAAAAATCACCAACATATTTAGTGACCCTTCAGACAGAAAAACTTCCTGTGAAATCTAAAAACGCTTGAGATTGTGTTTAGAATTATTGCTTAGAAACTGAGTTTTGATTTGTCCAATGTCACAATAGTTTGTTGTTGTTTTTTGTTGAATAACTAAAAGATAAATCAGCTGATTTTCTTATTTTGTCCTGGAAAAAGGGCAGGCCATTTGAAGCAGTTTTATTTGCAAGGACTCAATCATAAAAGCAACAAAAAACTGTAAATATTATGTGACTATGACTTTGCTGATACAAAAGAATATTTCTTTGCTAATGATCATGTATGTGTCTTTGCAGGAGGGCAGAATGGTTTCAACATCCCCCAGGTGTCTCCTTGTCCGGAGGTGGAGGCCTACCTGAAAATGACCCCAGAGGAGCTGCACGCTCTCGATCCCAAAAGCATCCAGGGCCAGGCTCGACGCCTGCTGTGTGATGCCTACATGTGCATGTACCAGAGCCCAACCATGAGCCTGTACAAATAGTATCCTCTTTTTCCCAACTCCCAACCCCTCCACCCCTGTCCCACAGCAACACCACCTCCCTTTCTCTCAGAGCAGGAGATTCCCAGAAAGACCAAAAATGAAAAATGGACTAAGAGAAGAAAGGCTGCCTGCGAACAGGGGTGCTGTCTGAAGTGAACCCTCTTTACTCCACCTCTCCTCAATGCCTGCTCTCCCCCCCCGGAGGTTGGAGAGAAGGAAGAGAGGGAAGGGAGAAGCCTATTTGCACTGTGCATTAGTTGAAGTGTTGTGTTCTTCATGTAGTCCTATGTAGCTTCCCTGTGTCTCACAGATGAGCATCGGTGTTGGCTGATGAAGCAAAGGTAGGCCTTATGAAGGTTCACTCCTTGCATAAGGAGGACGGGGGGGAGAAGATGGAAGAAAGGGTATGTTTGCATTGACACAGCCAACAGACCTGCAACGAAAACAAGATGAGCCAGTGGGAGGACCTTGGCCACCTCATTTACCTTAAGAAAAGAGGAGTCATGCTATTGTTAATCACTGTAAAAGACGGGAGCTTTCCATAATGCCACATTAAGGAAGCAATGCAGTCATCCAACGTGTGTGTACTGTTCTAAAAACTTGTGTAAAATCTTTTAGTAGCATAGGTTTTTCCAGGTAGTTACATCAACAGTATAGATGTCAACCTACTGTGCATTTGCATCAAGACCAGAGTACTCTGCTCTTCGTGAACTGGTCCGCATATTTCCCATCACGCTGTGTAAATGTCTATACAGTATATGTTTTGCAGAAACAAATGTAGCCATTGTAAAAGTCTCACGTTATAATGCATACTTGCTCAACCAATGCTGCACTTTCGCTCTATCCCCAAGTGGACCTATCAGGAAACATTTAGGTTTTGCTTTTTTTCCTATTGGAAGTCACAAGGAGTGCTAATTTGTTGGTTGGGAGACATCAGAGTTTAGTGTTACAGAATACAAATGTGCTTCTCTTCTGGAGCTGTAAAGAACGCTCTGCATTGCTAATGCAGGGTAGATGCCAGATAAATGCATGAAGGGAGACTTGTACAATGGCTCCTGTTGTCAAGCTAGTTGGTGGTGCACTCCATGCATTCATAGGGTCAATGAGGTGAAATACTCCAAAAGTCTTTCTGGTGTCTTTTAAGAAGGACGGTGTGATGATATGAGTTTCACATGCAGTGTTTTGTAAGAATAATGTTGATGACTAAATCTAAGTTATGTTTTATGTTTACAAAGCCTTTTTCTCTGCCCGTCATGGCAACTATGGACTCTTGCTGCCTTCCATGAAGATGTGACATGCAACGTTTCCAGCCACGCACCAGATAACAAAACATTTGTGATCAAATATTATTATTTATTATATTCTAATCATATTAAAAACTCCTGTGTCGTCCATTTTTAAGAAAACGAATCAGGGTTGATGATACTGGTTTGGGTACTGCTTATCCTCTTTCACTGTATAATGAAGTGAGTTTTTGTAGTTTACGCTTTCTCATAGCAACTACTGAATGTTAATCGTGACATGTTGGACAGTGTAGAGTCAAAGGGTGGGAAATGAATGAGACACAAAGCTTGGAACCTTAGGTAACCACATATGTAATGAAAGGAAAAAAACAAATAAAAAAAAAACCAAGTATTTATTCTCGATTACACTGACATCTAACAAGTACCTAAAGATCATAACTCAGATTAAGACAACGTATTTGTTGGTTTTTATATATCCTGAAAAAATTGGATAAAATCAATAGATTGCACAAGTCGGCATCAGGATAATGTATCTTGTTCCTGCCTCACAACTTAATCATGGACTTAGTTGTGAATATAAACAAACTTTTGAGGGTTTTATAAACGAAGTTCTAGCTGACAGCTCTCATTTTGCTCTGTGGTGGTTTCCACTGTCCTAGGGATCCTGACAGGGGACCTTCCTGTGTGAGTGAACTTTTTTTCTGCACTGCTGAAGCTTGTCACTGACTGGAGCCTTGTTCTCTGTGAGAGGAGTCTCTGAACGGAGGATGGGATTTTGATTTTCTGTTGCATCTGTACAGTCGACATATGTAACGGGTGGAAAATTAATGTAAGTGATGTTCCTGTAAATGTTAACAAAATAAAGCCCATTTTGAAGGCTATACGGCATGTCTTGAGTGATGTGAAACATGATATATTTATAAGAACAGAGAAGATAACAGTAAAGAGTCATCTTTTGGAAATGTCTTGAGTTGGGGTTCGTATGGTGAGAATATATGATTATAATAATGTGAAGTGGTACTTTGTAGAGAAAAATTGATTTTTTTACATAGCTTTCGTTTTCAGAGAGACACCAGTGATAAAGTTGAGACAATAAGAGTAAATTTTACTAAAACTTACCGTGAGATGTGTCACTCTTGTTCTGACATGTAAATCAATAATACTTTCAGGTCTGCAGATTTAGCAATTTGACTCCCAAAGTTTCTCCATCTAATTTTTTCAAAAGTGTGCAGGAAAACAAAAAAAAAGGATACAAACATATTTATTTGTAAAGTTGCACGTCAGAAACCACCTAAAAGTGAAGAGGACCTGCTCCAGGATGAGTCAGTTCCAGAGGTGGAAAAAAACCGTTACAACTTATTTGACGCCTATCTCTGTAACGCGTTATAGATATATATATATAATGCGTTATAGAAATAGGCGTCAAAAGGAAAGATGTCATTTTATCTCCTCTGCATCACTGATGTGCTCGCTAATTTATCTATGACGTGCAACTTTTTCTATTGCAACAACTTAAATTGATAGTATTTATATTTCTTTTATTTTTGAGTATTTAAACATTTTGTTACAATAATTTAAAAGTGTTTGTGTTGAAGCAGCATGTGTTTTATCTCCTCAAGACTCCTCAGGTTTGGTTTAAACACGACACTGAATTTTTTGCTAAGACAAACTCCACCAAGTTGACATAGTGTATCATACCTCACTGTGATCAGGTTTTTAACTGGATTCTCTTACTGAAGATGATTTGTGGAAGGAGTGAAATGTAAAATGAGCGTGCATACATAAACAATATCTACTTTGGGGTGTAAGATTGTCTGTGTCTGGCCACAAAATGATCTGCACTATAATTTAATGTTTGTTGCTTTGTGTGAAGCACAAACCTTGAAAGTGACACGTTTTACTGTAGTGCTTGTATTTTAGTGTCTTTGCTGGCCTTGAGGTGAAGCGTTCACACAGTCTTCAGTTTTAAGAGGGAATAAGAAACAATGTGTTGAGCTTGAAGCTCAGTGATAAAATTCTGACAAACAATAGAGATAAAGCACTTGCCTTGTTATATGATAATGTAAATACTGTTATAAAACATGATATCGTATAAAATATAATGATTATCATATAAAATAACTATTATAAATGAGTTTTTACTGGGAGGTGTTACAGGAATACCTTGTAAATTCTAGTATTTGGGTGAAATTGTTATCGTTTCAAAGCTGTTATATCTGCCTCTACAAAAATGTGAGTCTCTGCTGATAGGATTACAAGGATCAAACCCAGTTTGTGCTTCTGCCACAGTCTTGTAAACATACAACAACAATGTGATCACAGATTGTTATGTTTAGAGGGGGATAAGAAGAATTACTGTAAGTATGGTCTGTTGTGATCACTTGGGTGACTTTTGTAGTCTATCTGGCTTATATGTTCAGATTAAGTCCACATCCAGTGACCTAATTCCACAGACACTGTCTAATCTAATGATACCTCTGGATAAAGCAAACATGATTTGGTCCACAGGAAGCCCAGTCCACACCTTACCCAGTTTAGTTTCTGGTCAAACTTGAAACCAGCTCAGCAAGCTGACTTCAGAAGTGCCAGATAAGTATTTGTCAACAGAACAGCTGGCACACAATGCCCTCTTGTAGCTTTATGCCACAGCATATGCCAGCCGCTCGTAGCGTGTGGTAATTTAGCCGGGGCTGGTTCTACATGAACAGATGGGCTCAAGTATTGTTATTCTTACTCTAGCTCAGGGCCCCTGGGGGGAATCACTAAATAAAATCAAAGCAGATGGACCTCTCTGGGCTAGGCTGTGTTTATGATAAACAGCCAGTACAACCAGTGTCCATCAAACACCTTTACCCCACCCTCCTAACAACAGCTAACAGGAATTAGGATTACAGTAGTTCAAGCTCACCTGCACTGAGTTTCTGCTCTCTGTTCGCCCAAATATAGCTTGCAAACCCAAACATGCAAGAAGACAGGAAGTACATTATGACTTTAGCAATTCTTCAATAATTTATATCTACCACAGCCGGCTCAATTTCAGCCCTCTGACCTTAGACTGTAAAAATCTCTCAAAACAGACACTCTTGTTTTGTTGATGGTTTTATAAATGTCTGACTTTCCTGTTCTTTCTCACTGACACAGGACTGTTTTGTTCTTTTATAACCTTGTCAACATTTCACTGCTCTGGTTCTCACATTCATGCCATAGACGTAGGCCTTGGTGGCAGTATGGTCACAGTAAACATCATCTCACAAGGTAATACAGTTTGCCCACACCCCCATCCTGTTGTTATACAGTACATGGGAATGCTGGACAATTCTCACTTAGCACTAAGCTCCAGATCTGTGTTCATTCCCATGGGAAAAGACACCATTAAACAAAGGAATCCTATCAGAGCTGCAGGAAGGTAAATGTTTAAGGCCATTAAGACAACAGGAAAGCAGTGATTTCCGGCACTAAACATGAAAAAGAGTGGAGGATGAACGCTTTTAAGCCAATCAGTCCTAATTCAATATACCACTTAGGTGTTGTTTTAACTCCATCATGATAACCAGCTTTATTAAGTGTCTTCAAAGGTCATTTTCTGATGAAGTCAAAGTAGCGTAATCAACCTAAATGTTTACAGCCAAAAGTATTAACTCAACAGTTACTCAGTCACTGTAAGTTATCTTCAAATCTTTTAGTTTTTCTCCAGGCCTCACCAAACACTCATTTTTCATCATTACAAAGAGATCGCTTTTCTTTCTGTGGACACTTGCCCCTTCAAAATGGCGCTCAGTCAGACATTAAGCCGATCTATCTGTTTAATTCATCAGCAGAGGGACACCAGAGCCTCCGGCTCGAAGTTTGTCAGGACACAAAATAGCATTATATCCATCTCACCCAATGTTGTCTCTTGCTTGCTAACCTGCTCAGTTCCAAAAGTTTATAAGAGTACATATTTGTAACTTAGATTTATTCCTAATAAATCAACTAATGATGTCTTTCAAGCCTGATCTACAACAGCAGGAGCCTTCATGCTTCCAACACTTTTATCTAAAAATCACATCAGTTTCTGAGTTGTGACTTGTATTATCTAAAAGAGAAAAGAATTTGTTTTTTAATACATTTGGAAGAGTTTAAAAATGATTAAACTGACTAATGGGCAGGATTCGCACAAACTTATTTTTCTCAGTAGTGTTTCTGAGATAACGGCACTGAACTTCAACAACATTCAAGTTTTTGCAAAGTATCACACTTCAACAAATCAAAATGGGAAGACAGTTCCTTCCTCAAAGAATGCACACATTTTTTCATGGATTAAATCACATTCACGATTGTACATTTCCAAGAAACACAGAAGTCGCTCTCCCACATTTTCAGAAGGGACCCTGGCCATTTGGATGAAGCATTAATTGCCTCTAAAGCAACAGCTACCAGATGTTGTTGCTTCTAAGAGCCAGGTGTGGATAAATTGCATATGCATAATGTGTGTAAAATATTTAAAGTCGTATCTTTCACTTAAGGTGTGAAGTGTTTTTATTGCCCATCACTGCTTTGAGTGCAGCAAGAGGAAAGGCCGGCGGCCCCCTTGGGCCCGCCATGCTGGGGCTCAGCACCTGTGGTGTTAACACTGCGGATGGATGAGGCAGAGCGTGAGACTTGGTACAGCAGTGTGTTGTGGTGTGGTTGGTGCATTGTGGATGGGGGGAGTGGGGGTGGGTGGGGGATGGAGGTAATCCACCTGTTCACCTCCTAATTCCCTCCTGGTGCCACCTTTAACACTGCATTATTTACAGGTGCTCTCTGGATGGAGACGCAAGCTGCTGTCTGCTTTAAATATGGATGTTTTTGCGTGCATGCGTGTCTGTGTGTGTGTGTGTGTGTGTGCGCACACCTGTGTGTGCAGTGTATTTTTGTGTGTAATTGTCCGTGAAAAGCTGGAATCTATCTACTCTTGGGAACAACCTTCCACCCATACTGCGGCACCTTTGTTCTTTTCCATGTCAAATCACTATGAGATTATAAATGCTGACTTTGAGAGATGTGTCAGCAGATATAAGACTTTTTCATGGAAGTTATATTCTTCTACAAACTGTGGAGCTAAGCAGCATCATTGTAATCTGTTACAGTTTTCAACATCACTTAAAATGATCGTTAGTATTTCCACTAAATCAGAAGAAACTCAGTAATATAATTTCATCTGTTGTTGGTGCTCTTGGGGACTCACATGCTTTGTTTATGGGAGCAATTGTCTATACTGATATAAGTAAAAATACGAAAAAATCAACGTTGTGAAAGATTTAAAAAGTTTTAAAGCAGGGCTACACTCATTGAATGCAATCAAACCTTAAATATTGATGCCATAGTATATTGTTGCTACATTAATATAACTTATTATCTCAAAACAGTACGCAGATAGCTTGCATAAATAGAGAAGTGTCAAGTAAGTTGCTAAAGATATGACAAACATTATATAATACAATTGTATTATGTTTGTATACAATACTTAATAAAACTAAATGATCTGAAACAATAATTATGCAACAAAGCGCAACAAAACAAAGTTATACCATACTATACCATAGCATACAAGATAATATAATACTATACAATGTGATACAATACAGTACAATATAATTTGATGCAATATCATGTATTATGATTGATACACCTTGGGAATTTTATCCGCTCACTTAAGTGCTGCACACATCTGCATTTTATTACAGTTTCTAGGAGAGGAAGTCACCCAAGGAATTCTTGACCAAAATATAGAGACCCTTTGACTCCTGTCATGTATAGACAAGCACCGCTCTTATGACAGATAATCTTGTTATCTAATAAAGAGCTGTTTGCTAACAAGTTTGCTATGGTGAGAAAGAATATTTAATCAATGTTGTGTGC